TTTACAAGACTGATGTGATTAGCTTCACTTTTACAAAGAAATTGATGCTTAGTGAAATTTAGTAACTTGCCCTAGGTTAACATCATAGTAATTTGCAGAGTCAGATTTAAAACTACATTTGTCTGATTCCAGACTGAACTGTTCCCACCACACCATATTGCCTTTGTAAGATAAGGCCACAAAGCTAGAGAAATAGCAGAGTTCATCATATCAAGTTAGAAAAAGACTATTGCTTACTTCGTTGCTGAGACTTTCCCTCATTTTAATGTTACTCATGTAAGAAATACTGTCTCATTGTGTCCACAGATATTTAAATTTGTCTCCAAAGCACTGGTTGGAAAAGTATATAAATTTTATATTATTTTTTGTCTTTTTTGAGACAGGGTCTCACTATGTGGTTCAGGATGGCCTTGGGCTCATTTTGTAGCCCAGGCTGGTCTTGAATTTGCAATGATCCACCTACCTTAGCTTCTCAAATGCTGGGATTACAAGGAGTGTGCCACCATACCTGGCTATAAAAGTTTTTAAAATTCTTTTTAAGTGGGTGGGGGAGAGACTGTTTAATTAATATTACATGGTTCAGAGTGGAAACATAAGTGGTTAAATAATTCCACAAGAAGAATTATAAAGAGTAAGAACTACAAATTGTCAGTTAAGAAATTTTCTCCAATTTAAATTAAAATGAAATAAACCACATTATTTACTTAAAAAAAAAAAAAGGAGAAAGTTACTCTTGCTCATTTCTCTTCTGAACCTCTTCAAACCACCAAAAATGTCCTTGTTAGATTGAAGTTACAGACTAAGATGCTAATTTAGGTAAATCTTTTCTTTACCTACTGTGTAAGGTAGGCTGCCTGTTGAAAGTCAGAAAATAATGCATTCCTGTGCATATGTAATTGTACAGATAATTGCCTCTATCATTTAAAAATATCATTTGCCAAAATGGTGTCTATGATTAATTATGTACATTTATCACTGAGTCAACGCAGGCACATTCTAAAATCCTTTCCCTAAGCTCAGGCATATTTTCTCTCTTCTTGTTTCTTTCATTGTAAGTCACTTAGTGATTCAGAATTTTTTGTTATTCCTTAAGCCATAATTCACCTGCACAGGAACCAGCAACCAAGTTCCTCTCTGATTGCTGGGAAGCTACCTTTATACTGAGAACATCAAGGAACAAGAACAATGTCTAATTCTCTCATCTTGTTCCATGGATGCTCCTGGGAAGGAAACATTTACTGATATTCAAGTACCTCCAGTACCATTTCCTCTGTTTCAAACTATATATAGCTGGGCTTGACGTCACATGGCTGCAAAGAAAAAAATAATAATGAGTTAAAATACAGAGTAATCCTGCAGCCCTGACATGTGGAATTTAACCAGCATGAATATAATGTAATTAATGACAGTAGCCACTACTAAAGTGTAGCCTAACACTTTAGCATAAATAGCCTCCCAAAAAGCCTGTCCTGGAATCTCAAACACCCAGAATGTTAACCTAGGTTAGGTTAATGATTAATCTTCTTAACCTAAGTCCTGTTCTCATTTCTGAACCCTTCGCTCTTTTTCATTTTTTCTGGACTTGAAGTCAAGGTCTCAGTTTTACAAAAGCTTATGTTACATAAGTGCCCAGGCCCCTTGAATGCCAATACTTTATCTCCCCTAATCCATTCATTAGCTCTCCTGGGCCAGTGTGCCTCTCATTACATCTCAAATATTAGGGGCAGTCTCCTGCTCGGAGCCTGTGGACCTGCTGCTCCTCCTGTGGAGACTACTGTCACATCCCCATATTCATATTCTCTGTGGGATTTACTGCACTGTCATCTTTGCAACAAAGGCCTTCCCTGACCCCTCCCTCGAAGACTGCAAGCCTTTTTCCCACTCCTCCCATTGTTCTCTGGGTGGTGTTTTTCTTGTCTATGTCACTATTTAATGTAGATGTTTCAGATCTACAAATATGTCTCAGAACATACACACACACATACACACACACACACACACACACATATGTATATATGTTTGTGGCTCATCATGGATACATTCATTATGGGTAGTGGTACACGCGCGTGGCTTTTACCTCCCTGTTCCCCTCCCTCCAGCTCTAGGTCCCTTGGCCATGTGTCAAACATCTATCTCCCTTTTTCCTGTTTTTTATTTTGCTCTTTATTTATACTTTAGTTTTCTCATATAAAAGAAACATGGCTTTTAAGTTTCTGTACCTGATTTATTTTACTTAACATTGTGTTCTCAAGGCACATCCATTTTTGTTGGAACCAGCCTATCTGACCAATCTTTGATGAGGAGAAACTACTTCTGTCTCAACCACAGATGGAAGGGCAGGAGGAAGAGGAGAAGGGGACAAGGCTTCTTCACTTTCATTTTTATCTGCTCTCAAGGGTGCACTAGATGTTATCTCACAGTTCAAGGACAAAGAACTGCATGGATCATGTGGAGAAAGCTTCAGGGGATATAACAGAGCCTGGGGCATGAGCACACTCTAAACCCTCTTTCACTGGACCCCAATTCTCTAGATTAAATGCTCCCATCTGAGGAAACCTAGGATTATATTCGCTAACATCTTGCAACATATGAGAAAGCAACTGGGTACTAACTTGAGCACCAGACTGGTGTAACAGAATTTCCAATAAAGGGGTGTAATACTGTACCTCAGTCAATGAACTCTGCTCAGTTACCCTGGTTGAAAAGTTTTCCGCGTACACTCAATCAGTTTTTCTGTTTTCATTGCCAGCCGGCTCCTCGCTCCTGTGCAGCTCCCTACCACTAGTCAGTGGTACACTACACTTTTCCCCTGGTGGATTTTCCTGGTCAGATCCCTGTTTGGGCACCATTTGTAGGAACCACTGAATAAGGATGAAAAACAAGACACAGAATTAGTTGAAAATGCAGGGGGCAATTGTCTTCCTTTGACAGAGAGCCCCAAGTCTTTGGCTTACCTAAGTTTTATTTACTCAGACACGGGTACAAGCAATTAAAGTAACACAAGATTCATCTGCCTCCCAACATCCATGGTATGTGCCTGGGTGAACAACCAGATATCAGCTGTGTTGACTTTTCCCTGGAACTTATAATATGCCAGCACACTTACACACCACCAAAAGATCACAACTTGCCATCTTTTTCCTTTGTGCTCTCAGAAGAGGCCAGTTAGGACTCGATTCTCCCAATCTGGTCTCCCACACATTTGCCTACAAATCACTTGAGTTACTCTTGTTTTACAGCAGAGTAGTACTCTGTTGTATATAAATACTATATTTTCTTTATCCATTCATCTGTTGATGGACATATAGGTGACTTCCAAGATTTAACTACTATAAACTGTGCTGCTATAAACACAAGTGTGACTGTATCACTGTAATATGATACTTTTAACGGTTTCAGGAAATCCTAGAAGGAGAGTAAAAAATACGGAATGCTTCATGAATTCATGCGTCATCCTCCATGAAGTAACATCTGAGCTGAGGTCTAGAGGATGCATACAAGTTAACCAGGAAGGAGTGTGAATGTGGCAGGCAGCAAGCACAACATGAGCAAAGAGCTAGAGACGGAGACGCAGGGCTTCTCTGAGATCACAAGGGAAGACCAGAGTAGCTATAGTTATTGAGTATGGGGAGGAATCTATAAGATGAGGTCAGAAAGGAATGGAGAAATCAGCTTTCTCAGGGGTTGGTAGCCATGTTAAGAAGTCTAATTTGTGTTTGAGAGGCAGAAGAAGCCATTTAAATGGTTGGTGAATGAACCATTTAGGTGGAGTAGAACCATTCCAGCTGCAACATGGAATAGAAGTGAGAGGCTGAGATAAATCTGTTAGGAAGCAGCTTGATACTGAAATGAATATTTGGTAATGCAAATATACATTCACTAAAAATAAACATAAAGCAAAAATAAGATAATTTGGGATCTTAAATTTTACATTCCTTTACGGAGTCCTCTGCTTCATCAGGTCTGTCAGCTACAGGTTTTCATTTGGGAACTGGGGAGGGACCTTATCCTGACTTGGGTATGCTAGAGAGGTCTAGTGCCCAGAAGGGAGTGGCTTAGGTCTGTTCAATGAAAAATGTACTTTTTGAACTTGTTACCTTTGCAGTGTCAGAATCCAGTCCTCTGAAAAAGTCCACGAGAAGGCTGGGAATGTAGTGGGATGGTGACAAGCTATAAATTCTAGAGCTAAATCTTGAGAGCCAGACACACACACACACACACACACACACACACACACACACACCACACAAACACACTATAATTACAGCTGAGTGTGAATACAATTGTTAAAGAAGCTCATGTTAGGAAAGAGGGGAAAGAGGTCTATAGAAAATCATCTGATATTTAAGGAATTATTACGATGTATTTCTCCATTCCATAAATATTTATTGTGTTCTCTATGTGTCTGTACTGGGCTGCATGCTGGCAGAAGAAACTCACTGGAAATACAACTCTACAAAAAGTAATGAATGCCAAGGGTAAGACAGTTTCAAGGGGATGGCTAGTCATTGCGCTGCTGCAGATCAAGAGAGGACAGTGTTGGTTTTCTGGATTAGAACCCTTGCTAGATGGTGCACATTAGAAACCCAGATTAGTAAATAGACTAGTAAACAGACTCCTGGGGACTGTAGGGAAGGAGCTCTGACAAAACCTTCTCCCCTTTCAGAACTTCAAATTGGGAGAAGATGAGATTCCATATATAGAGAACATTTTGCTTTATATCTCATTTCCTTGAAACATCTTTTCCATCTTATGAAAAAAAGAAAAGCTGTACTACCTAGGGCCTGCCATGGCTGTCAGCCAAGAGTACAGATGTTGTAATTTGAAGTTGACAGCAAGACGACCCTTACAGGGTCACTACAGTTTCTGTCTCATGGCAGATCTTTCTGCTGAAATATGGAGGTGCCATGATGTTAAATCAATAGCAGTGAGTGATGTGGAGATTTGAGAGGAAGCTAAACACAGCTTCCTTTGATTTTACCATTTCATTTTTCTTGCAGGACACCACTTTAGAAGAAGAATCACCTCTGGATAAATCATCTGCTCAGGTTTGCTGTTCTAACCAAATGACATTATCCAAAGATTAGAACGTCTCGAATATTAATTGTATTCACTTAGGACTCCATGTAACATTTTCATTGAAACAAAGGCTTTTTATGAAATTTATAGAGTAGCAGGAACAAGCATTTCTGTTAGAAATAGTCAGAAGGTTGTGATGGTCAATTATAGATGTAAGACCCAAGTAACTCAGCGATGAAAATCTAAGTTGTGAAAGAGTGACATTTAATCTAAATAGTATTTAATTTTTTTATCTTCAATTAATTACAAGAAGGAGTATCTGGTATCTGTTGCTGTAAAATAAAGCACTCCAAAATGTAGAAGCTTAAAACAAGAGCCATCTGTTCAGCTCAGGATCCTGAGGGCTGCAGGGGCACAGGCTCAGGGGTAGAGTTCTTGCAGGCTTAGCTAGGTTTCCTCACGTACCTGTGGATACCTGCCAGTCAGTCAGGTATCTCTGTTTCTGGGAATCAGTGGGAAGATGGGGGTGAGTGGACACCATGTCTCGCATCGACTAGAAGGCTGGCTGGGGCTTATGCCAGTCTGGCAGGGAATCTAAAAAGGGTTGAAGCCTGAGTATGTCTTGAGGCAAGGCTCAGAGATGGTGCAACACTGCTTTTGCCAAATTCTTTCAGCCAGAGCAAGTTGAAAGTTCAGCTCATATTCAAAGGGTGGAAAAAAAATCAACTTCCTCTGTTGATGATGGGACTGACTACGAAGCTATCCTGCCAAGGAGCCATTTGGGCCCACTTGCTGTCTACTGCAGCTGATTTGTCTTATTTATGCTATGATTTACATAAAGGCAGGCAAAATGTACAGTATTTAAGCACTATTTTGGAAGGGATAATATTTTTATACTCTTCATTTTATCAGTTTAAAACAAAAACCTCTTGGCTGGGCATGATGGCTCACACTTGTAATCGCAGTACTCAGGAGGCTGAGCCAGGAGGATTGCCCTAAGTTCAAGTCGGCCTGGGTTATAGAATGAATTTAATGCTAGTCTGAACTACACAGCCAGATCCAGACTCAAAATACAAAACAACAAACAGACAAACAGACAAACAAACAAACAAACAACCAGGATCTCTCTTAAAATAACCAATTAAGATGAGATTGTGTTCATTGAATTGTTTTCTACTTCTGTCTTTTCTGAAAATATAAGAAAAACCCTCATTTTCTCAGTGGCTGTTAGTACAGGACTATGTGACATAACCAATTGCAGACAGAAAGAGAATTTTTTAATGGTAAGAAACAATAGCTGCTGGCCTTGTACTCTTGTATAAAATTTCAGAATTGCCATTGGGAAAAGGACATTTACTTGACACATGATGCTATTTCCATTTTTGTCTCCCCGATTTTAAACTGTCCCTTATTAAAGTGGCAAACTCAGTCTTCAGAATATACTGAACAAATGAAATCCATCACTGGAAGATGGACCCTTCACCACTTCGCTCCATAACATGTAGACATCTTATAATGCAAGGACATTTCATGGAAAGGCAGTTTTTAAATTCTTTCCTATGTGTGTGCAGAAAATAAAACTTTTTGATATCTTGGCTCAAACTGAATAGATTCTCACTTAAGAGCCAATGTAGTACTTTAAGACGATTTATTATTATGCTAATATTGTAATGTAATATTTATTAAGCATTGGAAGTGTGTAGAATACTAGGTAGTCCACATAAAAAATCCTAATGGATTTCAAGGAAAAGGGCTAAGAAATGCATCTCCTAATCCACAGGAAAAGCATAATTCAGAATCTAGCTGAATCAATAAATCCTATTTAAGTTAGCACAAATCACATGCTCCAAAAAAGGAGAGGGAGGCTAATGGAAATGGAGAGTGATAATCTCTGATTAATGTGTAGTCATTTCAAGAGCACACTTTCCTTTATACAGCTGAGTTTTGAAAGACTCAATTGAGTAAAAATATTTCTCATTTTCAAAAGTTGCCAGGGATTTAGCTCAGCAGCATAAGTGCCTGCCTGGCAAGAAAGAGGTGAGTTCAATCCATGGTACAAAAAAAAAAAGTTTTGGCCAATCATCCCTTGCATTATTATCTGATGTTCTAAGATCACAAGTTATAGTAGTTTCTCTAGAGACCAGCTTGGTAACTATTACCCCAAACTACAAGTGAAATGCATAAAAATATTATACCTTCCCTGCATGTTTATAGCATGACAGTAACATTTACAATGTTGGCATAAGGTATTTGAAAGTCTCAAAGTAGAATTATGAATCTGTGTTACCAAGAAACTTTCTAAAATTTGGTGTATTTTAAAAGACTATTTTAATGTGGCCAAGTAAAATGGAGAAAGAGGGAAGCAAGGAAGGAGGGAGAGACAGAGAGAGAGAGAGACAGACAGACAGACAGACAGACAGACAGAAGACAGACAGACTGATACTTAACTTTAAATCTCCCTAAAGAAATCTTTTATCTGGAAAATAAAAGCACATAATTTGAGGAAAAATATCTTAGTTTACCATAATTCTACACTTTACTTTGCTAAGCTAGTTTAGATCAGCGGGGGAAAAACATTAAGCCAAAGCTAAAAAGGGGCTTGGAAACAGCATTTCCTATTTTATATAATCACGCTTATTGACTAGGGGTTAGATCCTCTGCTCTTCTTTAAATAGAATTCTCACAGACGCTGATGAAAATCTTTGGTGAAAATTGATTGAGAAGTACTCTTTCTCTGTACTCTATTTAAATCATATATATTATATATATATATATATATATATATATATATATGCATATGTAGGTGTGGGTGTATAATGGCATCAATGAAACTTCTAAAACATGATGTACCACCTTTTGGGCGTTTTCAAGCAAGTAAAAGAATATGAAAAATGCATATTGTGGACTTTTTGATGATGTAGATGAAGTTGGAAGGGGAAAATATAGTAGTCTGAATGTGGAAATAGGGTGTAAACTTAACTATTTTTGTAATGGCTGCTTAAAATTTTTTATTTTAAAAAAAGGTAACAGGTGGGACATGGTGGCTCTGCCTGCAATGCCAGCACTGAGAGGCTGAGGCAAGAGGATCACTGTGAGTTCAAGGCCATCCTGGGCTACATTGTGAGTTTACAGCCAGCCTGAACCCTGTCTCCAAACCCTGTCTCCAAAAAGTAATAATAATAATAATAAATAAAAAAACAAAAAAGTGGCTATAGATGGCTGTGCTTATAAAATATAAATACAGACTTTTAATTTCTTGATAATATAAATTCACAGTAATATGTTTTCTTTTAAGCAAAGGATATAGTGTGTAATTTAAGAATGCACCAAGATATTTTAAGACAGTCTTCTTTGCTAACTGACTGATTAGGTTTGTGAACTGCACATAATTTTTTTTCAGCGAATTTCCTTCAAAATTTGAGGAGAAAAAATACAAAGTAATTAGTACATAGATGTTCAAATAGTAAAACAGAACATCAACACTGCTTATGGGAATAAAATCATCCACCAATTTCTACTTTGTGGTTGCAAACTGGTCAAATAATTTAAAGGTATATTTTCTGGAGTATACATAATGAAAAGTAATCAGTTCTTTGTTTCTTTAGAACTCTTGATGAACATATATACATTTGTAATATACACATATTTACATATGTGCCTGATTATATGATTTAGGTGTTGTCAAAGTGGCTGTTAAGATATCTATATGTCTAAAGAGTTTGTTTGCTATATTGGTCTTACTCAAAATATGTTTTGAAATGCACAAAACAACAATACACAGAATTTCTATGCCTCTTTCAGAATACTGCAGCAACCTGCAAATCCGCTTGTTTTTAGCTGTAGACTTTAAGAGAAGTCTAGTTAGATAAACTCCAGCAAGACCTGGTGCAGGGAAGGGAGGATGAAAAGTGGGGAATTCATGATGGGCCTTGAAGGTCGCGGGATTGAAGGGAGGGATGAGGTGCTCTATTTAGATTTTGTCTCTTTTAGACTGCACACAGAAGAAACAGATCAGAAACACGAAGAAGAGTGTTTCTCAAAGTCTTACAAAGAGAGGAAAGCTAGCATTTATTTCTACACATGGTAAGAAACTTGTAACAACAAGATACAGGTAGCAGAGAAGGCTTCATTTGTAACATCAAGCAGTCTGTGGATGGGATACTTGGGTGAGAGTTTAGTGATCGAGATTTAGTGGAGTTCCTCGGGACTTCAGAATGAATTCTAAATATCCTAAGAAAATAGTAGGCTTGGCTTAAATACCAAGTTACCATCTGCTAGAAAAAATTTTGTGTATAATTATTATTTAATCCTTGTGGTATTTCTTATTTCATTTATTATCTCTGCTGGATATAAATTCTAATTTAACTTCTGACTTCATGGTTTAATTTTGGTATCCTCAGTTGCTTAGTCTGTGGACCATGAGTTTATTTCATTTATTTGTTTAGACACCTGACCTAACTCTACTTTTATATAAAAACAGCTAATTAAAAAAGCAAACACAAACAAAAAACAAAAACAAAACTAGTTTAAAAGTATGTTTTTCCCTTGCAGCCACATCCCAGAGATGACCCTCAAAAACAACTGCGTGCTATGGAAAATTTTTTAAAAGCATCACTTCACGAAAATCATTTCTCTAAAGTATCAACATTTCTGCCTTCCTGGTTATCTGGGATACTTCTTTGGGTAAATAAGAACAGAACTTACTTTTGCCTGAAAGATTGAAGTAATTAAGGTAAAAATAAATTACCTGGATCAGTGGTTCTCAATTCTCCATGCTCATTAGAATTCTCTAGGGAACTGTTAAAAATTACAGACCGGGGCCCTGCTCCCAAACAAGTAGAGCGGGGAGTGGTCCCTGCCAAGGGCCTTTTTCAAAAAGCTCCCTTAGGTGATTCTAGTTCATATGCAAGGTTAGAACACTGATTTAGGTGGTTAAAGGCCAGAAGAATGAGTAAAGTAAATCTCAGTTCATGTTGTGACTTGAGGCCTGCAGATTATTGCTTCCACTGCCACTTGTTTTAGTTGGTTGCCTGTAACCTGAAATACAAACATTTTCAGAATGGCCTGTAAGCTCCTTTCCACACTGTCACCAAGCTAGTTTTCAGGCCTCAGCTCCACCCTTTTTCAACCCTGTTGAACCCAAAGCATTGGCACATTCCCTGTATTTTATTTCTTCACGTTTTTAGTTTCTTGCTTGTTTTCTTTTGGTCAGACATGAGCGCACTGTTACTCATGGTTATCCTGTAAATGCTGGTTTAAAAAGCTTTGCTTCTGTGCAACTCAAAACTATTTTATCTGGTGCTGATTCGTATAGATTCAGTCATGGGAATGTTTCCCTCAAGAGACAAAGCCACATTATTTAGCAATATGTGTATAGTTAATACCTTTCTTCAAATTATAGCTATTCAAGTACATATGTCTTACGCTACTTAGTAGCTCCAACATTAGTAGTCGCTTAGGTGTAGAATCCCGAAAGGACTCATTTGATTTAGGTTTATGAATATTTCATATAGAAATTTCAGTTGTGTTCTGAACAGTTGCAAATTCCAATACCTTATTGCAACCTCTTAAATAATTTTGAAGATGACCCCAATGTACAATTTTTTTTTCTGTTTAAAATGAGGTTATTCAGATTTTAAACAAATTGGAGATACTTAAAATATCAAGGATCCGTGTTCTTTCGATTACGTGGACTTACTTTGCGCATTTGATTATGTGTTTCCAGTGGAAAATAATGGACACCATTTCTTTATTTCTTCACTTCTTTAAGCTCTGATACCACAGGAAGGAAGCCGGCTTGCCAGCTCCCTGATACCTGATAGTTGTCTAACTAAAAGGACCCTGCGATGAGAATCAGCATTTTCACCAAGACAGGAGCCGTGAATCCTTCGGAAACAGACATATGTCCTTTAAAAGGTCCAGAGCATTTCCTGCCAAGCTGCCTCTGTCATAGAGCGCCTGTGATTGCGAATACGAGAAAGGCCCAAGGAAGAGATCCTTCCATCCTTGGAGAACCCCATCACAGGCCGAGAGCTTAAACATCGGCGAGATTACAGACCAAGGACAAACGCAGATAATGTTTTAAATGAATATTTGATTTTTAAAAAACGCCTACCCTGTGGTCTTTAAGTTTTTCCACTGCTGAATATTTTATGAAATATACGAATAATGGAGGAATATTTTTGTTAATATTCTGAAACAAATATTCTTAAATTAGAAAGCAGATTGGTTTCCTAGGGTGGTTTGTTGTGAGTCACAGATAAGTCACGCAGGTTGTAAATTATATTTAGACGGTTAACTACTTTCTAACGATAGTTTCAGTATATCCGGATAGGGAAAAAAAACCTGTTATTGAGAAACTACTTAAATTTTAGGCCAGAGCCAGTAACAGCCAGCTAACTCCACGCCCAAGAGGTCTGTCTCTTTCCCCTCAAGTCTTTATTGATCAAGACCCTAGATTTTCCACCCTGCTGGGTGCGGAACCCAGGCCCACCACTGGAGGGCGTCTGCACGCTTCCAAACAGCTCCGCGGCGCTGGAAATCCCGAGCCCGAGGACTGGAAAGCGCAGGAGAACGGAATATTGGATTTTATTGGGCTAATAAGTAAAAGGCAGAACTCGCAGGTTTGGGAGGAAAGCTAAAGCGCTTTCTTTCTTGGGATCAGTCCTTGCTACCGAAGCAGCAAACTCCTTAGAGAGCAAAAGAGAAAAACACTGCGCTTGCCAAGAGCGAGAAGCCCGGCGAGGGCGGGTCTCTAAGGCCCGCGTCCCCGAGCGCTTGCGGCGCTGGCGACGGGGGACGCGCGGTCCCCGGGGCTCCCCGCTCGCTGCGGGGCGACTGCGCTCGGGGGGCGCGAGGGACCTCGAAGTCGCGGACCGCACTCCTTTCCCCCGCCTCGCGTCCCCGGCTCCCGCAGCCGGTGACTGGGAGGCTTTTCTTTGGAGGACTGGACAGCGACTCGCGCACCCGGAGGGGGGCGCGTGTGCCGGCCCGCGTGCCGCATTTCCCGCCACACTCCCTGGTGCAGGGTCGCTCGGAATTGTAATCGCTTTGAACTGAAATTTTCCCCTATTAAAAAAAATGCAAAGCACAACGTGCCTTCAGGGCATCACTTTAGAGCGGATTCTTGCTCCCTGCGCGAGGACCTTTAAATCCCGGGCGGGAAGCGAGGCGAGCGGCGCCGGAGGAGCTCGGCTTCCCCGAGGCAGAGCGCGGTGCCAGCCGCGCCGAGACAGCGCCCCCACCAGGGGTCCCCGGACCGCTCCCGGCTCTCCGTCTACGGGGTGGCAGGAGTTCCCTTAGAGTCAAAGGACACTACTACTCTCCGGCAAAAAAGATGTCAACTCATTCCTGAGCCCAGACGCAATTCAGCACCCAAAGGGTTACCGCGGCGGCCGGGCGCGGGCGAAGAGAGCGCGCCGCGGCGCTCCCAGTAATTCAATTAGTCAGGTTTCAGGAAGGTGGGGCGCTGGGGGGGGGGTGTGGGGAGGGAGGAGATTAGGAAAACGCCTCTTTCTCGTGGAGCAAACCAATCCGCTTGGAGTAAAGAAAGGAAAAAATCCCCGATCTGTAAGCAAACAGCAGGCCGGCCCCTGACTGGCTGCTCCAGCCACCCCCCACCTTCCAAGTAAACTGCATGCAAGGAGAAAAAAAAAGGAAAAAAAAAAAAGCAGCCACATGACCCGGCCGCGGCGGCAGCAACGCTGGCTGGGCGCGGGCTGGCGGCGCCTCCCCCTGCTCGGTGCAGCGCTCACCCCCGCGCCGCCTGCAACCCCGCGCCCCGCAACACGCCCGGGCGGAGCCCCCGCCCACGTCCACGTCCACGCGCGCGCCCACGTTCCGCGCAGTGGTGAGGCTACCGCCGCCGGGTCACCGCTGCTGTGGGCTTTACAAGCAGGTCATTAACGAGGGGGCGTGCCCGAGGAGATTTTTCCCATAAAGCATTTTTCTGCCCCCACCCCTTTGCTCTCCTCTTTCTCTCTTTTGCAAAATTGACTTTTACCCCTTTCCACTTCTCGCCAGTCGTTTCAGTCTCTCCAGGGCAGCTCGTGCTAGGCACTCAAGTTTATTTATTTTCCCGCCTAGGTAGGGGTTTTAGGATTCGGAGGGTGGTTTCACCTCTTGTTGCTGCTGTTGCCTAAGGAGGGAAAGAGGAGCAGCTGCGGGAGAATCGGGAAGGTTTTCTGATGTAGTCATCGGGGAGGTGCCACTTGCTCGTGCGCGCGCGCTCTTTCCCCCCCCCCCCCCTTTTCAAACTGATTGATGCATCTCTACAAGTTGCTGGGCTCGGGGCCGGACCCGTCGGAGTCACAGGGACACTTCTGAGAGCTCGCCGGGGCTCTTAGCACCGCGTGTGGGGGCTCCGTCTCGCTCCCGGAAGGCGATCGGAGGCTGACATCAGCCCATCCCGGAGTTGAAGGGATCCATTTGAAAGTGATTGTTTCCCCTCCCTCTCGCAGCTGAACAGTTGGGTTGGCGTCGTCCTGCAGGTCTGGGCACCCCTGCTCTGCCTGGCTGGCTGGTTCATAACCTCTGCTCTGCACCCACACCCGGCCAAGAAATCACGCCCGAGAAATCCCTGGGACTCGGCCCGCGCCCGTGCAGGCTCCGCCGCCGCCACCGCCACTGCCGTCCGGACTCCACCGGGGACCTCCACCAGGGACCTGCTGGAAGACGCGAAGCCCCAAACTTTTCTTTGAGGTTTTGGAGGCAAGACCGCTGCTCGCCAGCTTCACCAGCTCCAGGACGCCGGCGGGGCTGGGTTTGCGGCTCCGGATCCCCACCCTTCTCGGCGCATCGCCCGGTACCGCAGTCAGTACCTACGACTCTTCCGAGATTTCCACGGGTTGCCCGGTGAAGGCGCAGCAGCGGCCGGGAGAGCACTCGAGACTCGCGGGGCTCTGACGTGCGCCCCTTATCTGCAGGGCACACTCCTCCTGCAGTTTCCCACCGGCCGTCAAAGTAACTTGGAGCGAAGCGGGGCGCAGTGCGAGGGCCCCGGGCGACTGCGGAGCCGTGCGCAGCCCGCGGCGCCGACGCTGAGCCGGGCCCGGCGGGCCGGTGTATGTCTCCCCGCGGCCACGGCGCGCAACTCCTGGTGACTGTGCAGCGCGCGCCGCCGCCCGCCCCGACCTGCGCTGCCGCCGCTCGGCCCCGCACGCACCTCCCTCTGCCGGGGTGACCGGCCTGCAGCCGCCGCCCGAGACCCGGCTTGGCACCCCTTCCCCCGCCCTCGCCGCTGCCACCACACACACACGCTCCTCTCCATCTTGTGCTTCCTTTTTCCTCCCGAGCCTTCCAGTGGGGGCACGAGTTGTCTTCATCCCCCCTCCCCATTCCACCACCTTCTTTTCTCCACGTTCTCTTGCCCCTCCCCAGCTCGGTGTGAGCCTCTCCGCTTTCTCACCCCCCTTCATTTTATTTATTCATATTTATTTGGCGCCCGCTCTCTCTCTCTCTCTTCCCTTCCCTCCCTCCCTCTGGATCCCTGCTCTCTCCCCGGAGTGGCGCGTCGGGGGCTCCGCCGCTGGCCAGGCGTGATGTTGCACGTGGAGATGTTGACGCTGGTGTTTCTGGTGCTCTGGATGTGTGTGTTCAGCCAGGATCCGGGCTCCAAGGCCGTGGCCGACCGCTACGCTGTCTACTGGAACAGCAGCAACCCCAGGTAAGGCGGTGGGGGGCGGAGAGCCTAGGCTCCCCGGGCCTCCGGGCCCTGAGGCAGGAGCGGCCGCCGCGGGGACCGTGCGCACCAGCCGCCGGGAGCGCGCACCCTCCGAGCCAGCTCCCAGGACGTGGCCGGCGTGGAGACCGACGGGAAGCGCTCTCTTCGCGCCCCTCTTTGTTAAGCCACCGCGGGCAGGCCGGGTGCTCCAGGGTGTCCCCGGGGCGGCCCAGACCCGCCGCCTCTGCGGGGTGCGGGGAGACTCGGAAAAGGGCGGGAGCCCCGGAGTCGGGACGTCTCCGCTGCGCAGCTCGGCACGCTGACCGGCAACTCAGTGCCGGCGCCGGGCTCGGGCGCGGGGAGCCCCGGTGTGCACCGCCGGCAGCTCTGACCTGGGGCGTGAGTGCGCAGGGACTGCGGAGAGAACCCGCCAAGCACCTAAAGTTTTTGTTTCTTTTTCTTTTAAAAATTGTTTCTTCTCTTTACCCAGTGAGCAGAGAGCACGGGCTAGGGGAAGTGAAGGGGGCTGGGAAGCGGAAGCTTTAGGTTTTTATTTTTCTCTTTAACTGCCAGAAAATCGTTCGGCCCCGGAGTCAGTCTGGGCCCGGCGCGCTTGGCACTGGACAGGATTCAGCCACCGTCCGAACCTCCGCCTCCGGTGGGCTCAGAGCGTAGAAAGTTTGATCTAATACCGGGCTACGTCATGTGTGCGGAGGTAGCTGCTAGAGTTGGCCGAACCGGCAGGCGGGAGCCCTTCGCCGCGGCCTGGCGTTGCGCAGCCGGAGGGACGCGCGCGGTTACCTGGACCCGTTTGTGCAGGCGTCCGCGAAGCCCGCGGGAGGCCGGAGGTGGGCGCCTGGGGCTGCCCGAGCGCACGTGCTGGACCCCGGCCAGCCGCAGACGTGCGGAGTTCTCGGACCCTGGCAGTGCGGCGGCGGGGGCGGGGAGGTACCCGGAGTGCCTGGCGGACCCCTCCCGGGCCAGAGCAGTGCTAAACCGGACTTCTTCCCTGGCCTGTGGGCAGCAACCGTCCCGGCTGGGCCCACACGCTCTATTTCCCTGGGACACAGGCGAGCTCCCAACGGTGGACTGGTTTTGGTACCCGCCTAGAAGGGACGTAGCATCGATTGTACCTAAAAGCACAGGTTTTCCCCTGGCCTGGAGTGGAAATGGGGAGCTAAGAAGCGGGAGGGCCAGGAATGGGCTTGCGGTTGCCGCGCGCCCAGCGAGCCTAGGGAGAGGGGCCTGCCGTGCGCCTCCGGCTCTTCCATCGCTGGCCCTCGCCTTCGGCCTCCAGGCTTCCTCCGCCGTGCGTGCAGGAGAATTCCCAGTTTGAGTGGTGTCAGCTCAGATGAAGATGGACGGATTTCCCCAGGAGCGGTCCACGGGTTGCCCAGCTGAGAGGGAGTCCTCCGCCCTGCTAATCTGGGGTAGTGAGTCGTAGCCAGGTAGCCCAAGCCTAGTAACATCACCAAGTAGCAGTGGAGATATTCCTGCAAGTTTTAAGTCTCAGGGAGGTCGGTGGTGGGATGGGAAGCTGTTTTTTCCTTGACATGCCACTTACCACTGTTAGGGAAAGAGAAAGAGAAGCCATCCTGCCAGAGGAGATGTCTTTTATTAAAGCTGACAAGACAAATCGAGCAAGCTTTCCAGTTGTGATGGTGTTAAAAGCAAGTCTCATTATGTTGGTTTTATTCCCTTTTGGGCTTTATTAGACAGCATATATGAAACAGGAATTTATAGTTCTAAAGTTTAGCACTTTATTAAATAAAGCAACAGTGAGCGAGTTCGAATTTGGGACGTTTTGCTCTTGACTGTCACTCCAAACTTCACAGCGTGAGCTTTGCCATTTATGTGGGTACCTGGGCGTTTGAGTTTCCCCCGGGTTAACACAGAAAGAAGCAACTCCTCTACTGTAACCCCTCTTCTTAACCTGTCAACCTAGTTCCAGTTAGTTTGGGGGCGTTTTATCTCAGGTTATCTCTGTTTTATGCTTTTGGTACTGTTGTTTGGTTTGAGATTAGCACATTGATTTCTGTCACAGGTCATGGTTTTTAATAGATCTGCCCTGCCTGAAGAAAACTCTTCTGCTCCAGTGCCATGGTGGCTTTGAACCTGCCCAGAGTTAATCTGTAGAATTTAAAGTACTAAGAGCATTCTTAAGCCAGTGTGCTAGTTTAATGGTTGTGGAAATACCTTTCTATTTGATCATTATCAGTTTGATAATGTTCAAAAAAGGCACTGAGGTATTCTATCATGCTCAAGAAATTTAGCTCTAACATTCTCAGACGTTTCGGGGGGGGGGCATTTATCTTAGTATGTCACTACAGCAAAACTTACTTTTAAGAATCATATTTAAAAAGTAGACCGGGTTAGCCAGTTTTAACTCAGAAATGTTGACTCAGAATATACTTTTTGTAAAGTCAACCTGAATGTAATTTTTTAAAGTCCAAGTAAAAAGTAATTTTAAGATAAAAACCAACAGTTTGTCACAAAAGATAGTGAGGAAATGTTTCATAAATTTGTATAGGTTTATTAAATTTTACAGGGTCAAGGTATATATATATATATGTTCAGCATTGCATTTCCTGTTTATTTATAATTTTGTAAAATAAGTTAGCCATAACTTGTGGTTTTATATAGAAAGTATCAAGACTTTGCTAAACTAGCGATATAATCAAAAGACTTCAATCTTTTGAAAAAAATTAGACAATGTATATTGCAACTTTGATATAAACATTTTTGTTTTAGAAGAAAGTTCAGTGGATACATTAAACATAAAAATAGATACTATATCTAAATGAAATAAATACATTCTAACTTTATGAAAGGTGTAATGTAAGTATATTTAGTTAGGTAAATACATCTGGATCACAGGGATAAGTATATTATTGTGTAACCCATGTTACAAATAACTTGTATAGCTGATGGAAATGTATCTACTACTCTCCTTGACATTATAAGCATCTATAAATCTAGGTGCACAGGAAAAATGTTAAACTTACTTGTTGCCAGAATAATTTTACTGTTAGAATCTATGTTCTTGCTAATCACTTCTGGAAAGTAGATAGTTTTCAGATGCTAGTAACTTTCAGTTGCCAGTTTGTATTAGGCAATGGATCAAACTGATTTTATGTGTTGAGTAGCATCACTGTGAAATAACAACTGAGACTTATCAGTCTGAATAGTAATATCATCTGATAATACTTGCCTCCACGCATCTTCTATATATCTAAAATTTGAAAATTTGCCTGACTTTCACCTAAAAGTGTGACTGCTGAATGATCCTTTAATACTATTTTGCACTCTAAATTGGAATGTAACTAAATAATCTTAAATAATCAAATTCCAAATCAAAGAGAATATAATTTAGTTTCCTTTCCTTCTTTTAAAATTGAAGAAAGCTTTTCAATAACTTTAAAAGAAGACTTTTTAAAATATAGCTTTACTTACATTTGCACTTATTACCTGTACTTAAAAAGAACATTACTTAATATAAAGAATAAAACTTAAGCATGATATAGTTTGGTGCCTACAATAAGAATATTCTTTTGAATATGTATGTAGATTGGAAAATTCCTCTTGGATTCTTTTGACTGCCTAAATGGTGATAAAGAAACATTTCTCTAAGTTGGCATTATAGATTAAAGTAAAATAATACAGTGACAAATATAATGAACATACTTAGATAATACTAATTCTCATTTGGTGCTTGGTTTCTTTCAGTGTTTGAATATCCTCAATTTAAAAGATTATTCTCTTAACGTGAAAACTATCTCTGGTAACGCATCAAGGATTTGCTACACTTTGACCTAATCACATATTTTCTTTGGATTTTTTTTCAATTCTTTGGGAACTTGTAAATTAAACATTTCATATTAGAGTAGGTAATTGACACCGTTTAGTTTTGTTAACATATCATCCTGGAGTTGTGAAAGTAATGTGATTTCTAGGTCAACACTCGGGAGTCCTCTGACAGCGCAGGTCCTATGTACGTGGCTAAGTAAGAGAAATAGTAACATTTCCCCCTAATCATATTCCCTTGAGTGTTTTTCTTCTTTCAAAATTCACTCGCCTCACTTTTAAATATCATTATTATGATGTATGAATAACAGAATCTTGGCATTGTGCCTTTTTCACTGACAAAATAAATGAAATCATCATAGTGTAGACCTGTGAATTTACTGTGAGAAAAGATGAAAGATTTATCTCGGTTTTGAATACATTTTGTTGGTAAACTTGAAAGGGATTTCTGTTATTTTTAAAATTTTAAATGTTTCATGTCATTTTTTTAATGGTAGAAACAAATTTTCTTCAAGTAAAAACATTACTTAGAATCTTAACTTTTATTAATTCGGAGCTTCAATGTAAATGATTTTATTAGAGGTATTAGGGTAATCTTGTCATTTTGATACTTACAGCTGAATTTATATAAGTACCATTATGAGAGTAAGGCAGTACAAGTGGACAGGTCCCATGTTGTTATACTTATCTATTTATTGAGAGCCTGAAGTTAATTCCTTCCTGTTTAAATTTGGACATTTGTAAAAGAGAAGAACGCTCTTTGGTGTTTGGCTACCTTTCCCTAGAATTTTGAAAAGCAAAATGAGCTACTGAGATGTTAGGTTCCAGTCACTGTGTGCATTATTTTACATAATTATAACAAACTATCAGATGTACCTATCTTCCTTTTGGGTGATTGGAACCTCAGTACTGTTTGAGGCACAGTTGCTTGTACAGGCTCATTTGGTGTTTCCAATGCTAACAAACCAGTTGTGATTAAAAGTATCAGGGTCTGTAGTAGTTCACTGCTGCCTGTGTGATTTTAGTGGTATTAACTAGACCACTGATTCATGGACTAATATTGTTATGTGTGTTGAAGCTAATAAACAGTAGCTTTAGAAACTTCCATCTTTGAAAACTGAGGATCAGGGTTGGAGGAAGCACTGTGTTATTGGAGGCCGAATTAACCTTGTGAATTTCCTGCCATTTAATTTTGCAAA